GTTTAGAAACGAGTTTTCTTTACTCTTGATCGTGATCATCAAGGTAATCTGTTCCATACTTTCCCTTGGGTTGATTTTCCATATCAAATCTTGAATGAGAAACTCCATTATGTTTTTCTTCCTTGTTCTTTTGCGTACCGAAAGAATTAGAATATAGGAGATTTTGACGCTAAAGTCGTTGGTTGGATGGGGTCAGGTGAGCAGCCTTTGCCTTTTTTCTTTTTCTCCTACGTCTATGATTAGGATTTCTCAATCTCGTCTATTAGCAAAACAAAGTGAAATGAACGATTACAAGATTGTGCGACTTCTTCCTTTCTTCAGGTATCTACAACAAAGGCACAAATTTGACAGGAATACCTGCACTTGTAGCTCCCATCATCACACCCATCTTATAGAATTTCTTTCTAATCGAGCATTTCGGGTGAGTTTTCCCCAATTCTCATTTCGTCTTCGTGCCTATTTAGGACAGGACAAAGATTTTATGGAAGGTTTTTAGAACTTTTTGCCGAGCTCGAGCTTAGTGGAACTCTAATCTGCATAGTGCCCGGTGGAGGACCTGTGGACTGTCTTGGAGGTATGATTTTTTCACCGCAGAAGGGAATCGTGGAAAAAGAGGACTTGAATAGCAAGTCTTTTTGAAAAAGCTAGTTAGACTATTATTATGGCTATTGATTGAATTATATTGCCCAGTAATTATAATATGCCTATATCTGACGAAATGCTATTTCTTTTAGGTTGTTATATTGCCTCGAACGGTGCTCCTTTGAATCCGGTACCAACGGGTATCATCATCATCCCTCCTAGAACAACGTTATCTTTCAAACCTTTCAACCAGGAGAGCTGCTTTTGCTAAAACTCAAGCTCTTTCTTTCTTGCTTCGGATATGATAGAGTATTTATAGATGCTATCGGTATTCCCAATAATCTGGCTCGGTAACAGATCGCTTCTTCCAAACAAAGCACCCCGTTCGTTACGCTCGCAACAATTAGTTCTCTAGGTGAACAACATTAGACATTCTTCTGAAACCAACACTTTTGATGTTATTTGAGGTACGTACAAGAATTTAGAAAGGAATTCCAATCATTCTTCTTATACGCTCGTTCCAACCCTCAACTCTTCTAGGCTCATCAATATTGAATCAATCGAACTCTAACACTTGTTACACTTTTGGAAGACGGAAGACCCTGCGTCACCAGATCGTGATTTTTCGTCAATTCTCTACTTCGTAAATAAAGGATTTTTCCATAATGGCGAGGGCCAACCAACTATTAGAATATTAGTAAATGCTTCGGAAGTGTCCAAATCAGGCTTAGCTTCTTACCTTACTACTACATCCACTTGAACAATTAGAATTTGACTCTATTTTAGGTATGGTCTTTCTTTGGCTATACATCCATTTCAACAAAGAAACTGTCCAAGACTAATTCTTGTGGGTCTCTCATCACAATAACTATGGTGATATGGATGAGAAAATGCCAATTCAAATTAAATGTATTGAAAACGATGTTACTGCATGGAAATGAACAAACGCAATTTGAGGAAGAGCCCCTAATAAAGGTCCTAACGAATTCCTAAGCCTACAGACGTGATCTATCTTTTTCTATTTCTCACATTCTCAGAATTTCCATGAATGGATCCATTTGAAAACAATTAGATGCTGACAGAGAAAAGATTGGCGTTCTTTATTCCTTTCCTTCCTATTCAACAACAACGTACGAATAGTTCCTTGATTTTGACTATTGTTGAACCAACCCTTGCCTTGGAATAAATAGAAGAAAATGGATTGATATTGGTGCAGACTCATTATTAGAGATCATTCCTGAACTTGACGGATCGTTCATTTTTCTGATATACGAAATCTGATCCAGCTAGTGTGACGAAAAAGAAAGAAAAGCGCTTCCGGCCCAGGGATGTCCCCACATGGAGAGTTTGCCCCCCAGGGTATCTTTTCCATATATCAGGGTGGAAGATGGAATCGGGGCGGTTGGCTGCGAAGCCTGATGCAAGCCTTCCCCAGGCGGAATTAATATTTCAGTAGAACCCGGAAGGTAGTTGCCCCATCTATCTCTCTTCCACCCTTTCCGTAATATAGAGTCACGCACAATTCCGAAGGTAAAGGCAATTTCGGTTTATTCAAAAAAATGTTGAATTGTCAGCTAGCTCTTCCCCTTTCCCGGCTCACTCATTATGCAAGCAAGCAGCGGGTCAACGCTACACCGCTTTTCCATCAATTCCTTCCCTGTTTTGGGTCTCACTCCCACCTATTCCTACTGTCGAACGAGAGAGAGAGAGCGTATATAGTTCTTTGTTCATCCCTAAACCATATGGTTTGGTTTCTGACTGAATTAGCTCACGAGACAAAATAGGTTGCTTCATGCATGTTCCAGATTGTGGCTACGACTTTCTCCCCTGTCACCTCAACTGCTTATGCAATCATCCATCTACTTCTATTTTATACCCTCCCCTTTGTATCTATTGATCGCTATCCATTTTCCTTGCATCCATCCCAGGAGCAGAGCTAGCTATACCGAAAAAGATTGATTACAAATTGATATCAGTCTTCTATGTTCTCATCCTCCCTGTTCCCTAGCAACTTCAAGGCAACAAAAGGGGACGTAGGACGGAACAATGTCCAAGCTGTGACAACCCAGCAACAACAACTTGCTTCTCAGCAAAGAAAGTGAGACTCCCAACAAACCTACCAGCAATCTCAAGTTCAGAGTAAACCATCTCCACGACAAGACTCCTTCCACTCCAATTAGGCAAATCTAATCTCTCTCCTTCATCCCAACAACATCAAAATAAGCCAGCCACACCAGGTAGCTTCCATCGCTTCGACAGTCTAGAGTGCTCTCAACAGTCAAATTAAAGGTCAAAGCAATGACCTGCGTAGGCGTCGACAATTGACTACTTCTTTTGCGGACCGGGTTGTTCTTTTCTCTTTGACAAGTAAAGTTCATTAAAGATGATGGGCCTGCCCACCCGCCTCCAGAACCTAAGCGTCTAGGCTATATGACCCAACAAATCTCAAAAATGACATCCGGATATAGCACTAACATATGCGAGCTATTAGACATTCTGATATGAACCAAAAGACATCAATCATACAATATACTTCAATGAAGATGTGAACAAAAGGTTGTCAAAATTATCAAAAGATGTTTCAATTCATGCCACATTGAAGAATAATGAAGTTTGATTGTTATAAATTTTGGGTGGGTTACAATTTAGAGTTATTGTATTTTATTTATGTATTTTAAGACTTTATTTACTATAGGTTACAATTACATAATGGTTAATTATGGTCATTAAGTATCAATGTTACAACTCTTGGAATGACTTTAGTAGTTTCATTTTGAGGCTATATAAAGCCATGTATGTTGTATGTGTAAGGGACTTGGAAAAATATAGTAAAAAGAAGCATTTGTGCTCTTCTTTAGCCAATGGCTAAGTTTCTTTGCAATTCTATGTAGTTTAGGTTGCATGTAGAATCATTCAAGCTCGACATAATCAATCTTGCTTGTGGAGTGATTCGAATCTCATGGAAGTGTTCTTGCCTTGAGATATTTGATCAACAAGAATCATTCAAGCTAGACATGATCGATCTTGCTTGTGGAGTGATTCGAATCTCAAACAATGTTCTTGCCTTGAGATATTCGATCAACAAGGTAATCCGAATCTTACTCCCCTTGTAGTAGTCCTTTTCTTATCACATTCTTTTTCAATACCTCGTTGAGGAGGAAAAAACGTCGATGGGAATTCGAGACAACCCCCAACATCCATCGCTGCTCCATCGAACCTCTTTCTTCACATAGTCCGAAAGTGGGTTCGTGAACCATGTGCAGAGAGGGGAGGGGGCAAGGCTCCCATGGAGAGCCAAACGTCTTCAAGCATGCCAAAACAACAACAAGCTAGCCTTAATAAGACTGATCATCCTATGCCAGCCACCCTGTTATGGAACAAGCAGTCTACGGCACCTAAACAACCGCTAGTGACGATTCCTTCTCGTATGGTTATGCCCATTTTTGTAGCACAAAATCCTCAACCATATTAACTCCAAACATTTCAGAAAAAAAAAAACCCTCTACAACTTTAAGTCAAGCTGCTTCGCTCCTTCCCCTCTACAACTATAAGTCAAGCTGCTTCGTTCCTCGAGAACCGCTCACCCCTTCACAGGAAAAGACTTATGTTACCCTACCTCAAGCAGCGGTGGGGGCGCCCATCAACATGGCGGGGAAGCCTAGCAGAACGGCTATCCCATACTTGACTAGGCCCATTTAATTTAGGCTTGATGATCTTTGCATCAATACCCTTCCCTTGTGCTACAGCCAGGTCAATACCACTGACAAAATTCTCATTCGCAGCGTCTCAACAAAGCTGTTGGGATTCAGCCTGCTTTTTCGAAGCCATCCTTTTATATTATATCTCCTACAGACCCAACCTGTTGAAGAAAATCTTCTTGCCTGATTTCGATTATGGAACTTCTGTCCACTTCACAAGTTCGGCTGCCAAAGGCTAGCATAAGCGAGCGCTCCTATTTCCATTTCACCTGAGTGAGGGTTTGCAAGCTATGGTGGGCTGTCTATTTTCTCCCCAACAAATTACCTGAATTCAGAAGGATTTTGACCGCTATCCCCATACTCGACCCCTGCATGTGGAGCCCTTAGTCGACCACTACCAAATAAAGAGGATCGTCGATCGAAACTAGTGCAGGATTTCATATTTGCATATTGAGTACAGCCAGGCAGTTGAATTTGGACCCTGAAAGGTTTGCTTCTCACTACAGCTGCTTGTGCATATGACGGGACCCCTCGAACCGCGCAAGGTATAGTAGTTCGACTGAATCTCTAAGTGGGACCCCTTGTTCGGTCAACTCTATTCCATGTAGCGGATATACTACAATAAAAAATGTTGGTAGAATGACCTTGGATCCACGCCAACTTGGTTGTGGCATCCTCATATCATATCATTATCAAGTTTCCCATGAACATATGATGTCTCTACCTTGATAGCGCCCCCGTCAACCCAAGCTTCATTCGACGTTCAGTCCCTTCTCCTCGATCCTGTATTGATCCACAACCATTCTTGGTATCCTTTCTTTGGTGGATATCCCACATGAAATTCGCAATGAGGGTTCCTCCTCGAGACCATGTTGTTTAGAAAAAGGTGGGCTTGTGGCTCAACTTCTTCGATTAGGCTACCACCCGGGGCTTGGTTTAGCTGAGGATGGTATTTCCTACCCGATGAGTCTCCCTCTTTGGTCTAGGCTTTGACCCCAAAGTCCACTTTGAATTGAGAATGTCCCACTATTCATAGACTGAACACAGGTTCCACTGTGGAAAACCCCTCGCTACACAAGTCGCGTCACCGCATTTGTTCAGTTGGGTCGCCAAAGGGAGGATTTAGGCTGACAAGCACGATTGACCGGAACTGGAGTCTCGAATTTAGCAGTTCCATGGCTGCATATTCAGTCGAGCATATATGACTGAGTCGCCCGTACCTAAGCTCGAGAAAGATTCTTTATACTGACAGTGTCTGCTTCAACTTCACCCGTCACTCGTGTCGTGTAGTGTAGCAAGACTACAAGTCAAGTCTCAGCAAGGAAGATTTTGGGCCCCAATGACAAAGGATTGGGCATTTTCGGGGACTAGTCCACTTCCCATTACTCGACGAGGGAAATTCCTCGCACATAATTAAGGGAGCCATTGAAAGGTGACTGAAACACCAGAAACGGCGACTACTCGAGCTAATGATAGAGGCAAGAACACTTTCCGGCCAAGTCCCATTAATTGATCATAACGATATCATGGAAATGCTGCTAAATCTTTCCGAAGTGAGAGAAGGAGGGAAGGCGCACTACAACTAACAGAACAACCAGCAGAAAAAGGCTAGCTAGTACAAGACAAGGTGCTGCTCGCTTTCTCTCAGCCACAAGTGGCTTATTTGTGTAGTGGTCGGCATTCATTCCTACATGCTTCTCCTTGCTCACCGACTTCAAAATTGAAAAGTGCCCTTTGGATGTTGTCGTGACGCTTTGGTTACGAAGGTTGGCGGGGTCTAGGTTTATGGATGGATTCAGTCAACGAAAGTCCAACTCAATCAATATCAACAAGATGTCGTGACCGGTTAGGCTTGGTTGATTTTGTCAAAAAAGAAAGTAGGTTTCGTGGGTTCATTGATTAGTAAACCTCCGGTGCTGGTAAGGTCGGGACCGTGGTCGTCTGTCTCTGGTTTGCCGGCAAATAAGATCTTTGAGATTGACTAGCCAGCTGGGTTGGTTTGGCTATTCCTTTCTATTGAAAAAGAGTCAGCTGTCTGCGCAGAGTCACCTTCTTCTAGGCTTTGTTGGACGACACGACATTCTCGTTCAAATATAGGTCGGCCGTACTTGTGATGGTTCCCAAGGATCCAATATAACCACTTAGGTCTACGTTGCCACGATATTTTTCTATGGAAGCGGGCGGGTAGAAGTTCGGCCTGGTTATTTTTGGTGTCGTAGGGGAGGGATTGACCTTTCTAACGCATATTCAGTCATACCAGCATGGCCCCACTGATTGATTTTCGATCGGAGCATCCAGCAGCGCAACCCGGTTCTACTTGACTAAGTCCCGTGCTCGTCCAAGGAGGGAGTTTGCTTTACCCAACTCTCTTTTTTCTAACAAGGCAGAACCCCCCGACCCAAGATTCATTAGTTTCGAATGAAGAATGAAGAGTGCCCTGCCCCTGCAAGCATCTACTCCTATCAAAATGAAAAGCGTGATTTTACTAAACAAGCAAGAAAATCTCTTTCTATTAGTCAAGGGCTTTAGGCTTTACTAATAACAAACATAGAAGGTAAGGCCAGCTTTTTAGCTATAGCTTTACAACGAGAGAGCTTAGATAGGGCCCTTTCTTTCTTTCTTCCTATTAGTCAGATAGGTTGGTTGTTTGAGCGCATTTTGCCCTTGATTATTATTATTAGTCAGGTTTTCAAAAGGCATAGACAACTTTCTGAAAAACCTTTTTGTTTAGGGGTAAGGGGAAGGGGGCGCTAACGCCACTCTAATACGCCCTTATTAGATAGAGTCTGATCGTGGTTTTCGCGCTGCTCAATCCCTTGGTTCGTGAGGTTTTTTTTGGCTTCCCTCAAATCGCGAATATTTGAAAGTTGGTAAAGACCCACCCCTTGTTTCAGTTAGAATGACTCCCCGGGACCCCAGAACATTGGCTTCCGCCAACAGTGGACTATTAAGGATCGCATCCCGGGCATATTCTACATTATAGCCTGCAACTGATTCAGCTTCCGCTTCTGGGAGATCAAACAAAGCTCGATTAGTTTCTACTAGACGAGAAATAAAGAACATAACCAATACAGGGAACAAGGGAATACCAGACCATATCTGCTTTTGCACCATGACAATCTCACTCGAATTACGGAGACCTACACATATTAGTACAATATACCAGGGTCCCCGGCCAGAACCACACGTGCAATTTTCCCTGCATGTGGCTCGTCCGTGCTTTTCGAGGCGCTGCCTGTGACTCAGCATGGGAGAAGGGGGCGGAACTGCACACTTTCGTGTTCATAGCATTGTCCGAGTGAATAGGGGGCGGAACCTATCATTTGTTCAATTTGATCGATCTGAGACTTAGTTAACTCTTTGATCTTGATGTTCCCACTGATACCTAATCGATAACGAACCTGAATGGCTTTTTTAGGTCCAATTCAATCAATTTTGGTTGAGGTAATTCTGACTTGTTTATAGGTAACTGATCTAGCTCCTAAAATATATGACATTCTTGATCCTTCTCCTTTTACTAATCTTCTCGGCTGGAATCATAAATGAGTTGTCTCCTCTCTGATTGATGATCTTTTCTATAGGTCGAACTAGTGTGAGCGGTCTAAACTTCGACCCTGATTTCTTCACATTATGTTCTCGTACCCAAGCCCTAAAAAAAGAGAAAGAGTCTTGGAGAATTGAACACTGATCTTACTAAAGAAGTGAGAAAGTGCTGATGGGTCGCGGTCTCAAAATGGAAGTTTTTCGCCTTAAGATAGCGCGGAAGGTCTTTTCGGGCCGGTTCGCATCCCCCGACTCAACAAGTGGTCTCGTGCGCGGCCATCATCTTGTCGGGTCTGAGCTGCCTGCGGTTACAGAATCGCCCAGCCCCCTTGACTCTCTCTCTATAAAAAAGAGCTTTCTGCATCTGGGGCGCAGGTTTTTATTAAACAACGTTCGACTATCATGTGTATAGCATATAGCTAGCGTTCCTTCTTTCTGAGCCAGAATCAAACTCAGAGAGAGAGTATGATTGGGCCCTGCTGTGGTAGAACTTGGTGAACCGGGCATACTACTGAACTTCAGATTGATTCTCTCTCCTTCACTATGTAATGCAGTACGTTATATATTCTTTCTAGAAACTCAATCAAAATCAAAGCAAGCTAACTTCTTGCAACTACATCAACAACTGGGGGGAAATTCACTGGTCCTACCTACTCACGCTACGCTAATAAGGTTGAAAGAAAGGATGCGTCGAGCAAGCGACGGTTCTACTTAATTAAGCCCCGTCCTTGTACAAGGAGGAAGCCAATCCCACCAATTTGAATGACTTTGATTAGTATACCCTTTGCTTTTAACATGGACGAAGGAGCTCAACAAACGTGACCGGGCTGCTCATGAGAGAGAGAATTTGGAAAACAAACAAACAAAGAAAGACCTCTTCCGACACGCAAGCCCTAAGTAAGCAAGCTACCTTGTCTTCTTTCTCAAAAGACCTTGATGGAATGAAAAGCAAAAAGAAGGAAACCCTTACCTGCTCAAACGAATGAATTTCTGAATGAAAAGTGCGAACCCAAACTAGCTGGGATTTTTGGGGTTACCTCGCAGCCCTTTCCTCCAATCGAGTTGCAGTTGGCCTTGTTTCAGTCAGAATCAGTCCCCAGGACTTTTTAGTAGGTTCTTTAGTCTTTTCTCTCAAGAACTAGTACGCCCTGTTCTCGAAAGCCGAAGAGCAACTAAACTAAGCAACTGGGAGATTAGGCGGCAATTGAAAGAGCAGCTCGAAAGCCCTTTGTTTAGTCTTTTTATCAAACTCACTCATATTGGAAAGAAGGCCGGCCGACCGTTATGGCCAATTAAGTAAACCACGAGCAATTCGTCTACTTTGACTTACGACACCACTTTTTTCTTTCATAAAGGATCCAAAGAATAGAGAAGAGAAGAAATAGGCTTATCCGCACCCCATCCATCCATACGACACGATAGCTTCAGCAAAGAGTAGAGAGAACTAAGCTTCAGCAAAGAGTAGAGAGAACTAAGCTATCATACCAATTTCCATTTTTTATAAGCAAGCGTACCTCTGGCCTACCATACACTAGTCTCAATCAATCTTTCTTTTCTGTGTGTTGGTTGTTCAATTTGAAGGTGGTTTCGCTCTTAGATATCTGCTTGCCTTCCTTGTCTTTTTCTTAGATTTCAGAACGCTCTAAATAAGAGTACTCGATTCTTCTAATAAGCGAGAACATCTTTTCTTTTTCATTTTGGCAACAAGGGAGTAATTTGGAAATGCATTGTTTGGGTGGTTTACCAACGGAGGGCAACCCCCAGCAATTGAAAGAAAGAAAAGTAGCGAACGGTCAAAATGAGGATCTTTGACACCTCGATTGTCCGAAAGCCCTCTCTTGCGAATGAAATCAATTTAGCCAATGTTTTGTCCGGGGGTTCACTGAAGAAATGATTTGAGATTGAAAAAGAGCCTGAAATTGGCCTACACCTTCGCGTGAATATGTAACTTATGTCAAAGTGATGCGCCAACGTCTGCGTTGAGTTAAAACTAGGTTTCAATCCTAATTCGACATCACGGAACCTGAATTTGAGAATCAGGTGCGAAAGAGACTACAAGTAACTCAAAGCCCTATCCGTACCCGATCTCGGTCTCAGAGCGGTCAGAAGAGTCGGAGGGGGAGCTGACACCGGTTCTCACCCCCAACACTAGTACGGTCAGCACGACAACCTCGGAATCAGTTATACTTGATTTGACTAGGTTAGAGAAGATAATGGGAAGACTAATCTAAGAAAGAAGTAGAAACCATATCCATCGGCATGTCTGCAATGCGTTCGGCATTCCTCCAATCCCAAGTAGCTCCTTCGTTTTCCTACAATCCTCCGAACATTAGTTCTCCCATATCCGCCTTCATAAATCCACATCCCCTCCCAACAATTCATTCTCAAAATCCATATGCCATTCCCAATACCTATATTAGGTGGATCATGATGCAAAAACTAAGTCCCGAAATTGGAATCTTTCTTTGGCCCCTCTTTCGAAATACGCTACTCCATGAGCCCCGTAACGAAAGGAGTACTTTGTCATTCCTCGATTCTCGGCACCATCGGGTTTCTTCCCAAACATTATCGTTATCTCAGCTCTCGCCATTTCAACCCATATCTAATGTAGCCCACACCACGCCCCAAACCCTACCCAGCTTTCCAGGCCATCCCATCTCCGTCATTCCACTTTAGCTCACCTCCAACCACCTAACCCCTCTAGCTTATGGGCAAATCTCATTCCCCCAGCAGGGATGAACGAGTATGCGGATAAATGAAAGTTGAGGATTTTTGGAAGAAAACGCAAGGCATTGGAGGGTTTTCCACCAAATTCAGGGATTTTTCCCTTTATCTATCCTGCACCCGGTGAAAAGTAATTTGAAAAAGACAACGAAAAAGGTTGTCTCATCTCTCATCCACAAGCCTATTGTGCTGATGTCTGCCCTTTAGAGAAAGACGAAGGGACTGTCATCCAATTGTCCCAGAAGAGTATTAGGGGCCCTGCACAGAAATGGTGGTTTACGTCACTATCTCATTCTAAGTTAGCCTCGTTTGAGCAATTATCTCAAACGTTCATCGATCAGTACTCCTACAACTTAGATGTCAAACCAAAAAGATCTGATCTCGAGGCTCTAAGTTAGAAAGGTGATGAAAGTTTCAGTGCCTACGTAGGCAGGTGGAGGGCTGTCGCTGACCAAATGCGAAGAAAACTCTTTGAATTAGACTCCATCAACTAGTTAGATTCAGGCTCTTTGGCTCATTCTTCGATTGCTGGTTATTTGATGTCACAGACCCAGACCCAGACCACATTCCAAAGCAGCACCTTTCCCCTTTTCCAAATTCTCATAATAATAAGGTAAGCTTTCAGTCCCCTCTCCTTTACAGTCTCGCAGCTTCGCCCCTCTCCCTACTTACTCAACCTCAACCCTGAACCTTTTCCTTCTTTCACTCTTTTTCCTGTAAGGACCATTAATGATTTTCTTGATGTCTTTCCCTATTTTTTGGGTTATTTTCCCGGTATTTAGGGTTAGAGGTAATTCGGAAGTCAAGACTCAACCTTAAACCTTTGACTCTATGACCTATTTTTGCTTTCATTGAACTCGGTAAACGAAATCACTACTTCACGAACCTGGACTATTCTTCTTGAAGGAGGTAAAGCAACTGAGGATTTCATTGACTCTCTTGCTTCTTTCACTCCTCTCCCTATTTTTTCTTTCATTTTAGAGGTAATTTAATAGATAGGCTAGCTGAGAATCATGTCAAGCTCTGGAACCGGAACCCCTATTCCCTTCAGTCAGTGATTGTGAGATATTCTTGAACGAACTGTAAACAAAGATGAAAGATTCATTCTTGTTTATGAACTAAACTCACTCCCCTTTTCCTGATTGAACTCTTTAACTCTGTCTTCATCTTCGCTCATTTCTTTACATGAGAGTAAATGAATGAAATCCTCTTCCTTCGTTCGAGTCTCCCTGCTTGATTCTTTCTCCCTCCTTATGAATTCTCCTTTTCCTATTTCTTCTTTAACTTAACTGCTCTTTCTCCTGTCCCTGATTGAACTCGATAATGAGAAAGTCAAGACTCTCGATGAATGAGACAGATGGAATAGGCTGGATGAGAATCTCCCTGAATTTAGTCTTTCACTGTAAACTAAGACTCAACCTTTAATGAGACTGAACCTCGTAAACTATCTCTCTCAATTGTCCCTATTCCTCTCTTGCTTGTAAACTCCTGAACCTTCTTGCTGCTTTCACTCCTGAACCGGAAGGAAAGACTCAATGAAAGATTAATGAGAGTGAACTCCTTGCCTTGTTCCGTTATTGTTTGTTATTCTTTCACTCGGGTTTCACTATTCAAACACGAGGTAAACCCTTGAACTACTGAACCTGATTTCACTCCGTAACCTTTGACTTTATAACCTGACCAGATTTCACTGTCAACTCGGTCTCTTTGCTTTCTTTGATTCTTCAGACTCAACAAATGAAAGAAAGATCAGCTCATTCACCTTCCCCTTCACCTCTATTCCCTGACCGGGGTAAAGCTGCTAATTCATTGACTCTCTCTCCCGGATTTCACTGTCAAAGAAGAAAGCTCAAACCTTTTCCTTCTTTCTGTAGGTCTGTTCACTCCTTCCCTTTACTGTCGAGTAAAGAAAAGAGAATTGATTGGCTCAACCTCAAACCTTTGACTGATTGAACTAGGTAAACTCCTTCACTTTCAGAACCTTTACAGGAAAGAAAAGAAAAGAAGACGACGATGACGAAACCGACACCCGACACCCTTTGACAGATTGAACTAGGTAAACTCCTTAACCTCTCCCTCCCTTCTAAATCATAAGGGGAAAGACTCAAGCAAGTTCATTCTTACAGTTGTTCAAGAAGAAATTCATTAGCAGCTTTGAAAGACTCAACCTCAAACCTTTGACTGAACCTACCTTCACCTGACGAAAATGACAGAAGGGAGACGAAAGAAAGATGAATGAGACGGAACTCCCTTTCCTATTTCTTCTTCTTCTTATTGATTGAACTGTAAACAAAGACTCTTTGCTTGAACCTGGACTAACTATTCTTCTTGAACGAGGTAAAGCAGCTGGATGATAGGAACCTTCCCCTTTGACTCTATTCCGAAACCTATTAACTGTAAACGAAGAGAAAGAAAGAGAAGAAAAATTACCTCTTTACAGGAGTAAAGAAAAGAAGACGACGACGAAACCGACACCCTTTGCTTTGACTGAACCTTCCTTCACCTGACGAGAATGGAAGAAGATATTCCTTTCTAGTCGAGTCAATGAATTCAATCCTACACCTATGCTTTTACTGTGTTTGAAAGAATCTATGAATTAGCAGCTTTGAAACAAACCGGAACCGAAACCGATATGACCTGACCTAAACCTATTTATTCACTGTAAACTCGGTAAACTCAATGACTTGTCCCTATTTTTTAGGGCATTGAACTCGGTTTGAACTATTCAAACACGAACATTAAACAAGGTAAATGGCTTTCTTCCTTCTTTCTTTCACTCTTGATGATATGGAAAATCAACCCAAGGGAAAGTATGGAACGGATTACCTTGATGATCAAGATCAAGAGTAAAGAAAACTCGTTTCTAAACTCGTGATTCGAATCACTCCACAAGAGGTTTGATCAATACCACTTGAATGACTCTACATGCAAGTTCTAAACACAAGAATTTGCAAAGAAAGTTTAGCTCTCAACAAAGCTAAAATAGAAATTTTATTCTTAATTCCAAAATCTGATGTCTAATCAAAGAAAAGAAGGCTTTATATAGCCCTTACAACCTTAACCTATGGATATATAACTCCCAAATTAAATGGGCTAGTTAATGGTGGAATATAGTAACCTATGTGGGTTACAATATAACCTTAACTCCTATATTTAAAACTAGCTTAAATATGACAAACAAATATTTAAACTATAATAAAATAATACAATTAATAAAATGTGCTTATTGACTCATCCTTGGACTAGCTTCATAAATTTAGTGGAGTTCATTAAATGAAACTTAAAGTGCATTTAATTCATCTCTTTCTTGAAGCTCAACTTTGCACAACATATAAGGGAGGTCTCCAGCGTCTTCTAGAATTTTCTTTGATGAGCTCACCATAGCTTGAATATAACTGTATAAGGTTTGTTGTAGCTTCTTAGCTCTCGTCCTTGTAATTGGACCTTCAGGTATGAAAATTCCTTGGTCGTGGTTTATATCATTCTCCCCCTCTTGAAAAAGATTCGTCCTCGAATCAAAGCCATCACCTACATCAAAAGGACTCAAATCAACAACATTAAAAGTTGTACTAACACCGTACTTACCTGGTAAATCAATTTTATAAGCATTGTCGTTGATACGCTCAAGAACTTGAAAAGGTCCATCTCCTCGTGGTAAAAGCTTAGATTTTCTTTGAGTAGGAAATCTTTCTTTTCGGAAATGCACCCAAACCCAATCTCCTGGCTTGAAGATGACAAACTTACGCCCTTTATTAATTCGGGTAGCAACCTTGGAATTTTGTTTCTCAATTTGTTCTTTCACTTGCTTGTGAAGTTTATGAACAAACTCAACCTTGGCATTTGCATCAAAATTCACAAACTCTTTTGACGGTATGGGCAACAAGTCAAGGGGGGTTAAAGGATTAAAGCCATAAACAATTTCAAAAGGTGTGCATTTAGTAGTGCTATGAACAACCCTATTATATGCAAATTCTATAAAGGGCAAACAAACCTCCCAAGTCTTAAGATTCTTATCAATAATAGCCCTAAGCATAGCAGTCATGGTTCTGTTAACAACTTCAGTTTGTCCATCCGTTTGAGGATGACAGGTAGTTGAATATATTAGCTTAGTTCCTAACTTACCCCATAAAACACGCCAAAAGTGGCTTAAAAATTTTACATCACGATCACTAACAATGCTTTTTGGAATGCCATGCAATCGTACAACTTCCCTAAAGAACAGGTCTGCAATATGTTTTGCATCATCAGTTTTGTGACAAGGAATAAAATGAGCCATTTTACTAAATCGATCAACCACAACAAAGATGCTATCATAACCTTTCCTAGTCCTAGGTAAACCTAAAACAAAATCCATTGATATATCAATCCAAGGACCATTAGGAACCGGTAATGGGGAGTATAAACCATGTGGTTGAAGCCTAGACTTAGCTTGTTTACATGCTATGCAACGAGCACAAACTTTATGAACATCATGTCTCATTTTAGGCCAAAAGAAATGTTCAGAGAGCATATCATAAGTTTTAGAAACTCCATGGTGTGCCATTAAACCACCTCCATGAGCTTCCCTCACAAGTAGCTCACGGATGGAACAAGAAGGTATGCAAAGTTTGCCTTTTCGGAACAAAAATCCATCTAACAACAAGTAATTATCCACAATGAGTCTTTTTTCACAAGATTCAACAAAAGGAGCAAAGAACATGTCATGTTGATACAAATCCTTTATGTGTTCAAAACCCAACAACCTAGCATTCAAAGTATTGAGGAGGACATACCTTCGTGATAATGCATCTACAACAATGTTCTCCTTACCTTGTTTATATTTTATGACATAAGGGAATGTTTCAATAAATTCTAACCACTTAGCATGTCGTCTGTTGAGTTTATTTTGTACTCGCAAATGCTTTAAACTTTCATGATCCGTATGAATAATGAACTCCTTAGGCCAAAGATAATGTTGCCAGGTTTGCAATGCACGAACCAAAGCATAAAGCTCTTTGTCATAAGTTGGATACCTCAAAGATGCACCAGTCAACTTCTCACTAAAGAACATCAAAGGTCTTTGATTTTGCATTAATACAGCACCTATCCCTACTCCACTAGCATCACATTCAATTTCAAAAGTAGACTCAAAATTAGGTAATGCAAGCAAGGGAGCAGAACTCAATTTTTCTTTCAAAGTATTAAAAGCAAGTTCTTGATCTTTTTCCCATATAAAGGATACATTTTTCTTAACAAGTTCATTCAAGGGTGAAGCAATTGTACTAAAATTCTTAATGAACCTACGGTAGAAACTTGCAAGACCATGAAAACTTCTTACCTCACTTACATTTTTAGGTGTAGGCCAATCTTTTATAGCCTTCACTTTCTCCTCGTCAACCTCAACACCATTAGATGAAACTACAAACCCAAGAAAGTTAGCTTTTTCCATGCAAAAGCTACATTTCTTTAAATTTACATACAAACATTCGTTTCTTAAAGTAGTCAAAACATTGCGTACATGGGTAATATGATCATCTAAAGATTTAGAGTAAACAAGGATGTCATCAAAATAAACAACCACAAACTTACCTAAGTATTCTCGTAAGACATGGTTCATTAGTCTCATGAATGTACTAGGTGCATTAGTTAATCCAAAAGGCATAACCAACCATTCATAAAGACCATACTTTGTTTTAAAAGCTGTTTTCCACTCATCCCCAATATGCATGCGAATTTGATGATAACCCGATTTTAAATCAATCTTAGTAAAAAGACTACATCCATGCAATTCATCAAGCATATCATCTAATCTGGGAATTGGATGCCTATACTTTATAGTTATCTTGTTTATAGCCCTACAATCAACACACATACGCCAAGAACCATCTTTCTTAGGTACAAGAATAACTGGAACAGAACAAGGACTCAAACTTTCACGTACATACCCTTTAGCAAGGAGTTCACTTACTTGCCTTTGTATCTCTTCAGCCTCCTTTGGATTAGTCCTATAAGCTGGTCGGTTTGGAATGGGCGCGCCATGAATGAAGTCAATCTTGTGTTCAATCCCTCTAAGTGGTGGCAAACTACTAGGCTTCTCCTCGGAAAATAAATCTTCGAACTCTTGCAAAAGCACAACAAAATCACTAGGCAAAGAAGGGTTAAGCATGTTAGTAAAGTAACAAGATCCCTTGCACATAAGTACAAGAATAGTCTGGTTAGAGATCAAAACATTCCTAGCCTCACTTGATCTAACATACAAGCTTACTGATTTGGCTTTTCTCTCTTTTTTTTCTCTAGGCTGAGTGTTACTCTCTTGCTTTTCCCTCAAGATCTTTTTTTCACTTGATTCTTTTTCAATCTCTGCTTTTGCATCAGCCTCTTGCCTTTTCTTTTCAAATTTGCAGTGATCAATAAATACATCTTTTGGAGACAATGGAATAAGAGTAGTTTTTCTACCGTTGTGAGTAAAAGAGTATCGATTTGCATACCCATCATACATTACCCGACGATCAAATTGCCAAGGCCTCCCCAGTAGTAAATCACCGACATGCATGGATACAACATCACATAAAACATCATCAACATATTTTCCAATAGTAAAGGAAACAAGAGTTTGTTGAGTTACCCGTACTTCCCCACAATCATTCAACCATTGAAGCTTGTAGGGTCTTGGATGTGGTTGTGTCTTTAAATTAAGTCTTTTGACCAGAATGGAACTCACAACATTGGTGCAACTACCGCTATCAATTACAACACTACATGGTACAGATTGAACAAGACACCGAGTTTGAAACAAATTCTCCCTTTGGTCTAGGCCGTCCTCCTTAATGTGGGTGTTTAGAGCTCGTCGAGTAACCAAAGATATATGTGTAGGGTCCTCTTCACTAAACTCCTCACTCTCATCAGTTTCCTCATTTATGTCGTCATGTGCCTCGTCATCCGTAACAATTTCTCCCTCCTTGATGGTCATAATTCTTGCATTTGGGCAATCTCTACTATAGTGTCCTACCCCTTGACATCTCCAACACTTTAAATCTCTATTTCGAACATTAGACTTTTCTACTTTTTCTTTCCCTGTTCTAGAACTCTCCCCTTTCTCAAATTTAGCTTGAGGCTTCACATTAATCTCTTGATTTCTATGCGTATAATCAATGTTCTTACTATCCCTTTTCCATGTAGAAGTAGAATTGGAAAAAGTTTTAGAAGAATACCGTTGAGACCTTCGTTGGATTTGCCTCTCGATCTTAATTGCAATGTGCAACAACTCCTCAATATTAGAATAAGGCTGTAAATCAGTCTTGTCCGCAATCTCTGTGTTTAACCCATTAAGAAACCGCGCCATGAGAGCCTCCATGTCCTCATCGAGTTCAAGTCGATCCATCAATGTATCCATCTCCTTGTAATAATCCTCCACAGATTTCCGTCCTTGTTTCAATGCTTGAAGCTTTTGCGCCATGTCTCGGTGAAAATATTGTGGAACAAAACGCTTTCTCATGGACTCTTTGAACTCGACCCATGAATCAATTGGTGCTTCAAGATTTCTTCTCCTACTTGACATCAATTTATCCCACCAAATTTGAGCATATTGTTTGAATTGAGCAATGCATAACAGTACCTTCTTTTCATCACTAAAATTATGACAGTTGAACACCGACTCCACCGTTTTCTCCCATTGAAGGTACTCCTCTGGATCGGTTTTGCCATAAAACTTGGGAAGTTTTAATTTGATGCTCCCCACGTTACGATCAATTCTATCATCATAAGGAACTCATTGTTGTAAATTATGATACCTTCTTCCATGGTCTCTCCCTTGCATCAAGCCATGACCAACCACATGTGGATTATCCTCGTGGTGATCAGAATTGTCGCCCTCATATGTATCGGTTGAGGGCGTAGGTAGTGGAATCCTCTGTCGAGCTTGATTTTGAATCTCCAATCTGCCTATTCGATCAGTCAACTCTTCTATTCCTCGAATTAGTCTTTCCATGGTTCGTTGTTGGGCTTCTCTCAATCGTGCATCAGTAATGTTAGTATTGTCCTCTGGATTTTCCATGCTACAAAAAAAAAGGTAAAAGAAAGAAAAAAAAAAGGACCTCACAAGCACTCCCTCACGTGTATTCACTCGTAAATGTAGTTCACTCGTGTTTAGCACTCAACACTCGAATCAATGTGTCACTCCCTTACAAACTCACCCTCACAATTGAGCACACACAAATCACACTCCAAAAAACAAATTGGGATGTGAGACAAGCTATGTTATAGAGCTAAGTGCAATTCAAAGTGAATAGACAGCACACTCAAGACATACACAAGGGTATTGAAGGAGCAATCCGAATAACGACAAAGAAACGAATTAAAGAAAGAAAATGATTAAGGACAAATGTAGACGAATTAACATATGAGAGTTACATATAATAATCAAGAGGAAAAAAAAAAAGACATTTAACATCAATATGCTTTCTTTCTTTCAATGATTTTTTTTTTCTTCTGATTGGTAAAATATAATCAATTTACCAACAAGAAAATTGATTTAGAAGATCTTAAAGAAGAACAAAGTGTTGATAAGATCCAAATCTAACACTTTAATGAACATAAGAGTTTTTTTTTTTTTTTTTTTTTGTTATATATTTTTGTGATAGAACATGAACATTCTACACAAACTGAGAAAAAAAAAATTATAAGAGAATTAAAAGAGATAAGCACAATGAAACATATATCCGATCTTGAGCCTGAAGCTCTGATACCAAATGATATGGAAAATCAACCCAAGGGAAAGTATGGAACGGATTACCTTGATGATCAAGATCAAGAGTAAAGAAAACTCGTTTCTAAACTCGTGATTCGAATCACTCCACAAGAGGTTTGATCAATACCACTTGAATGACTCTACATGCAAGTTCTAAACACAAGAATTTGCAAAGAAAGTTTAGCTCTCAACAAAGCTAAAA